AGATGGCGTTCCTCGACTCGACCTCAAACACTACCTCAATCGACCCTCAGAACACCTGCAGAAATACCCCGTCCTCCTCGAGGCAGTGTATCGTGAAACAGATCACAAAAACCCAGATGGCGACTATTTGCACGAAGCTATCTCCGCTATCAAGAATCTGCAAAACGTCGCACAGCTCCTGACGTTCCAATCTGCGATGGGTAAAGGGATTACGGGTAAATGGGAGTGGAACGACTTGGTGTCCCCAGAGACGAAGGCAACTGTCACGAGAGAGGAGGCGAAGCGGCAGTCGTGAGTTGCTTTCGGACTTTTGGGCAATACAGTGTGCTTACTTCACTAGGGTTATTTTCGAGCTGATCAAGGGTGAGATGGCGTATGTCCGAGATTTGGAAAATATCGAAACGGTAATACCTGTTTAATTGAATTATATGTTGTTACTTTGTCTAACATATCCTAGATGTATGTCAGGCCACTCCGTAATGCGGAGCCGCCCATCGTCCCAAGTGAACGTCTGGACCAGTTCCTCATCGACGTCTTCCATAACTTCAATGAGCTTCATGCTCACCACCGTCGGCTTGTGGACAGTCTACATGAAATCCAACGAGAAGAGCATCCACGGATTAGGACGATTACACCTGCTGTGTTCGACGCGGTGTTGAATTTCCGGGAGGCATATATGGAATACATCCCGAATTACCCTATTGCTGCTTATAGGATCGATGACGAGATTGCGACTAATGAAGAGTTCAGGAAGTTTGTTAACGTGAGTTACACAGGCAGTCTTATCCTTCATATTTTTGATGGGCCTTTGATATTTCAGAATGCCATTCGACATCCAGATGCCCATCGACTAGATATGAAGAACTTTATCAACAGGCCCATCCCACGGCTGCTGAGATACGAGCTGCTCCTGAAAGAGATCTTGTCGGAAACACCACCTTACCACGACGATCGCGATGCCATTCCCCCTGTTATTGAACAGATCAAATCACTTGGAAAAGAGACTGAGCCGGGTGTCGTCACTTCCAAGAAAAAGGTTGAACTGTGGAAGTATAATAACAATCTGGAGTTCAAGCATGGTGAATTTGTGGTACGTGTTTCTGTTTTAGCTATGACTGAAGATATTCACCGGTGTGTTATAGGACATGGATCTTCTTCACGAAAACAGGTCGCTGGAGCATACTGGCAAGTTGCTTCGCCAGCCAGATAACGACCGGACGAGTGGCTGGACAGAACTATTTGTTATGTTGTTTGATAATTATCGTATGTACTCAGTCCTTGGAAAAATTCTGGTACTGATGACTTTTTAGTGGTCATGACAAAACCAAAAGAGAAGGATGGTGTCACGAAATACCACGTTCACAGGAAGGTTGGTCCATGTGCACTCGTTCTTGTCGATTGTGCTAACGTGTTAATAGCCGATACCTTTGGACCTGCTATCAGTCGTCAACTTCTCTGACAGTCCAGTTCAACGGAGCACAAGTATCCTCCGTGCCTTCCGAGATAGGTCGGACAGCGCAAGCATATCATCGCGCACAGCCGACAGCGACTCGCGAACCGTCTACCCTTGCGTCGTGCACCACAATGGTCGACTCGGCGGGCCATACATCCTATACGCTGAGAGCGCCGCTGCTCGTTCAGAATGGAAGAAAAAACTAGAAGAAGCGATCGGGTTCAGAAAGGTCGTGCAAGATGCCAACAAAGTATTTGAAATTGAAAGTCTGAGTGTAGACACTTTTTTGGTTCCTGCTTTCGCGACCAACCCGAATGCGCCGTCGTGGAATGATGGGACGTTTACAGGCAAGGTGACATGTTCTGTACCATTTAGTGAGTTTTTGTTATCTTGTTGGTGGAGTGGCTGCTGATATTTTAAAAGCGACGCCGGATGGACGTGGTCTTGTGGCTATTGGATGTGCGGAGGGTGTTTGGATTGGGTATCGTCATGATTCAAAATGCAAGTCTGATGAAACGACAGCGCTTGGCCCATCTAACATATTTTTGTAGCGTTACGCAGAGTACTGCACCTGAAAATGGTGACGCAGTGCTCGATGCTGGAGGACTTTGGGTTGTTCATTGTGCTGGCGGATAAAGTGCTGTTTGCTTATCACCTGGAAGCGCTCGTGCCTACAACACCTGGAAGCATTCATGCATCTCAGACGCCGGTCAAGATTCATGGCAAGGATGTTCAATTCTTCAGTGTGGGTGTTCTACACAACAGGACGCTTGTGATTTACATGAAGAAGCGTGGTGTAAGTTCTTTTCGTTATTTTGAAAGTATGTGAAGCTGATCGTATCGTCGTAGAACAACGATTGTCATTTCTATGCCGTTGAACCTGTTCTGGATAAGATCAACGAGCGGCCGAAAGCCAGTAATCAGAGGGGATTCATCCCTGGATCCAAGAAGAAGCCTGAGTGGTTCAGACCATTCAAGGATTTCCAATGTCCAGACGCACACGATCTCATCTTCCTCAAAGCTAAAATCGCAGTTCTTAGCGCGAAGGGCTTCCAGATCATGGACTTGACCGAGTAAGTAATAGCCGTCTCTGTATTTCTTGCTGATATTAATTTGCGCGTACAGTTATCGCAGTGTGACGATCCCTCAGAGAGACAACCCTCGTTATGCCTATCTGTCCAGGCGATGCGATCACTGTCGTCCACTTGGAATGTTCCGCGCAAGCGATGATGGCTTCTTGCTGTGTTATAACGGTAAATACTCTGCTCCTTGTGGCTTGTTCACCTCTCACATACCCCCCAGAGTTTGGTGTATACGTCGACAAACAAGGGAACCCCAATCGAACAACAGGGATCGTCGAATGGGAAGGAACGGCGGACAAAGTCGCCATGCATTCTCCTTATGTCCTCCTCTTCGACCCACGCTTCATCGAAGTTCGTCACGTCGAAACAGGTCGTCTGATTCAAATCATTCCCGGAAGTGATATTCGGTGTGTATGGGACGGGCGATCTGTCGATCCCAGCTCCACATTTGCGCCACCTGAAGGGAACGAAGAGAACATGATCCAAGAACCGCGTGTGCACGCCGTCATGAACGTTTCCGACACACCAACACAACCAGGCGGGCGCCCCATGCGTGGAATTGTGCAGCATGTGTTCGAGCTATACCCTACTATACCACTTTACCTCCCCGGTGCGTTGTCCTCCCCTTCGAATGCGCCATTCTACCCCGTTTCGTTTTCCCCGCCCAGATCGCCGCCTTTGAGGGCAGGACATTTGTAGATCTACATTGTAATTTCTCGTGATTTATTTTTCTCAATCTGTTTTTAAGATAAAGTTGTGTTCCAATTACTATACTCTCTTGGTTTTCTGTTTACATAGGTGTTAGTTGTATTCAAGGATGTAAGGACGATTCTATTTTCCAAAATGAGTGAGAAAGAGAGTAAGTGGGTAATTCGATACACCAAGATGGGTAAGTGATATACAGGGTAGTTCTGTTCCTAGATAGATGAATAGATAGTAACTTGAACCGAGTTACTGATTATGGTGGGGCTCCTCGCCCACGTCCTCGGGCTCTGGCTCGGACCGCTATGGAGTTGTTTGGGTTTACAACTTTGGGACCTCGTCCGCCACGAATATTGGCTGCTGCTGCACCACGTCCACGCAATGGGATGACCCCAGGGTGTTGGGTGTTATCAACTTCCATTTGTTGGTGATATTCACCTCCTTCCTGCGCACCTCCCCGTCCACCTCGCCCACCACCACCCCTTCCACGCCCTCCCCTGGATATACCTCGTCCACGTGGCCCACCAATGAATCCTCGTTTTCCGCCTCTTCCAAACCGCACAGAGTCAGGTACAAGAGAGAGAGATTCGATAGCGTTAGTGATTCCCGAGATCCCAGCTTCGTCCATAGCTCCGCCACTGCTTTGTCGCTGATGAGGACCTCCTCCACGTATAGTAATCTTGGAAGATACGGAAGAGTGTGGTGAGGAGCCGCTGTTGAATCGGATTGGACGGATGCGAGGTGTGGATTGGTCGATGGCTTCTTCCTCTTCCTCTTCCTCGTCTTCTTGGATGGGGTGATCTTCGTCGTCCTCTTCCTCTTGTTCTTCTGCGTCGTCACTGTCTTCGTCTTCATCCATACCATCTTTCCATCTTACTTCATTTGAGCTGGGATTCGCAGCAGATGCAGCAGTTGTGTCTCTAGGCTTCCAAGGTCCTCTGACGAGACTTGCGCCTTCACCCCATCTTCGAAGGAGGCCGCCTACACCTTTGTTCGTTACGGCAAAGAAGTACTGTTTTGGGTAGCTGTGTACTTGGATTAGATGTAGACGTCTGGCTTTGGGGGTCTGAAATTTGCGACCACATGTGGGAGCAGCTATATGACATTCAAACTGGAGCAAAGTGGCACCTCTCAGTTGATGATCGGGCAGGGTTAGTGGATTGCTTACAATCTTTTCTCCCCGTTCTTTCAAGATAGCAGCTAGTGGATCATGGCATTCTGTTTGATGCTTTTTGTAGAATTATTATAAAAGCCGATAGAAATGGGAGAAAAATAGACTCACCAGTTCCAAGAGCCTGGCTTCTGGGAATACACACCTACAATTATCAATCGCGCACACATGGGCATGATGAGAAGCATAATGCCTCTCTAGTTCATTGGTATCAGCAATAGGTGTCGGATGGTGGTGACAGGTTGGTGGAAGATTGCACAAGAGAGGGTGGATACCAGAAGAAGTGGTTGTTGCTGTGTCCTGCTCTGATGCATTGAATGGGATAATGCGTATTGCTTTGGACGGTGGGTTGTGCGTTGGTTGTGCACCGTCTACCTGTATCGAAGTATTAGCATCTGTAGATGCAGAGGATGTCCTTGGGCGCTTGTTTGTAGATGCCATATCGGAGAGCGGATGAGTATCAAGAACAGATCAACGTGTAATAATACAATGGCTCAATCTCATCAAAGGGCCAGGCACTGATTACCTCATGACATCATCACGCTGCTTAGGGCTTGCTGCTCATTGCTTATCACAACATTTGTTAAATATGTGCCCCATGGCTGAGTTGGTTACAGCGTCCGACTGTTAAAATAAGTATTGAGGCTCGAACTCATGCTTACGTAATATCGGAAGGTCGTGAGTTCGAGCCTCACTGGGGCAGTAATTTTTATATCTATTTCATTGATTTTATATCGAGTGTAAATTCGAAGAGAGGAGGACAAGATGACGGAGAAAATACAGATAATCAATAGAGTTGATCATTTCAACTGTGTTTTTGCATCAATTTGATCAGATCATTGGAGGCGGAAGCTTACTTGATTAACGTGAATGTTCTTTTACACCTCGAGTGACAAAGGACTCGAGTGGATGGGCGTCACTGACTATCTATATTTCTTTAGATGTGGAAGTTTTCTTTCTCAACGCACTTAAGAACATTAGGGGAGAGAGCTGCTTTTCATTGATCCATGGAAAGGAGACTCGGCCACCTGAATTCTCTTGAGGAATCTCACATCTCAATTGGTAGTGGTAATAGTATAGGATGCATGAACAAACAAACCAGGAAAAAGTGTCGAGCATAGTTTTTAATGGACCAACATGCATAGAAGATTGAGAGAGAACACACAAAGCAACGAATCAGTAGCAGGTAAAAGGTAACCCTAGACGGAAAGAAATAGGTAACATGAAAGCCAAATAATTAAATTGTCCAAGTTTGTAACATCATCACCGACATCAAGGCTTCCATCCCGAGTGTCCTGGATATGGATCAGGGGAGCGAGGAGGCGAATTGGCCGCGTAACTAGGTGTGCGACCATAGTATGGACCTCCTGGAATCGGGTTAACATTTGGTGCAGGCGCTGGTGAGTAACCTTGTGGGTACAAGGGCGAGTTTCCATTGGATCCCGAAGCTGGGAATCCATAAGAGCCAGCAAGAGAGGGTGTTGATGCATATGTATGCATGGGCGTTTGCATAGAGGGCGAGTTTGATGAGATGGAGCTATATCCAGTGTCCATTCGAACGGGGTGAACCTGTTGATGAGGTCCACCACCAGTGGGCACAACTGGCGGTGGTGCGTTCGGGCCAGAGACAGGGAAGAGCGGTACAGTAGGTATCAATTCACAAACATGCTGCAAAACATTCCTCTGTCTCATGCTTGCTGGTCCGGGAACTGAGTCCATGCTGTTCATGACAAAGTGCACTTGAGCGTCTTGGAATCCAGATTCCTCGGGGTCCACAGGAGGAGCAACTTGAGGGTTGCTAACACCGCGTCCATCCCAAGTGCATCGAATATCAGTGCCAGGAATGATTTGAGCAAGACGACCGGTTTGGATGTGACGAATCTCAATGAAGCGCGAGTCAAAGAGGAGGATGTATGGAGAGTGGAAAGCAACACGCTCTGCTGTACCTTCCCATTCGATTGTGCCGGAGGTACGACAAGGATCGCCGTGTTTGTCAACATAGAGACCAAATTCTTTTGACAGGTCGGTAAGGGCATCTTGATATCAAATAATATCAACAACATACCATCGTAACACAACAAGAACTCGTCATCGGTCGACCTGAACATGCCCAATGGTCGACAGGATTCACAACGTTTGGCGAGTTGCGCATGCTTGGGGTCTTCTCGCTGAGGAATGGTAATACTCTCGAAGCTATAAAAAATAATCAGCAAGACTACTTGTCACGAAAAAAGATATATACGCACTCTCCCAGATTCATGATCTCGAATCCTTTAGCACAGAAGATGGCAATTCGGGCCTTCAAGAAGATGACATCGAACGAGTCAGATGGCAAGAAGAAGTCACGGTAGACTCTGAACCATTCTGATTTCGCGGAACGGAAACCAAGACGAGAGCCAAGACCCAGAGGTGCTTTGACTCGTTCATTGATCTTGTCGTTAACAGGCTCAAGGACACGGAAAATGCTGTCCAACTGTACCAATTTCAGTACGTGTTTTGGATCACAACCAATATATGCACTTACTCCTTTCTTCTTCATGTACACAATCAGTGTCCTACCATGGAGCGTACCAACGCTGAAGAAGTGCACATCCTTGGCACCACTGAGTTTCTGGGGCACTTGCGATGTATGAGCACCATGAGGAGAAGACGGCACCAGTGCTTCAATATGATATGCAAAGAGAGCTTTGTCTGCCAACACAAGGAAGATACCGAAGTCCTCGAGCATTGCACATTGGGTGACCATCTTGAGGTGGAGCACGCGCCGAATGGCTGGAGAGGATACGCATAAGGCAACATAGCTGTGACAATTTATGATGTACATACACTTTGGATCATGGCGGAACCCAATCCAAACACCTTCAGTACATCCAATGGCAACGAGTGCACGACCGTCGGGAGTATCTGCTCAAAATTAAATCAAGATTCTACAACGCCTGGATAGAGGACTTACTGAAAGGAACAGAGCATGTAACCTTGCCCGTGAACTGACTGTCTTGATTCCAAGCCGGACCAGAGTGATTCGAGTTGTTAATCGGGATAGAAGGCATAATGAACGTATCCCGACTCAAATACTCAATCTCAAACACCTTGTTATTCTCCTGGACAACCTTGCGCATCGTCAAAGCATGGTCGAGCTTCTCCTTCCACTCTGAACGAATCTGCGAAGATTCAGCGTAGAGGATGTAAGGACCACCCATTCGGCCATTGTGGTGTAGTGTGAGGGGAAAGACGTGTCGAGAGTCCGTGGCACTTTCAGGTGACAGTCCCGGCGCTGCGTTTCCTTCATGTCGTTCACCAACGCGCAGGGTCTTCAGAATACCAGTGCTACGCTGAGTAGGTGGATCTGAAAAGCCGACCAAGGTCAACAGATCCAACGGAATGGGCTAAAATAGTGCATAAGACACGAGGAATGGGTGTAAAAATGCTACCACCTACCCTGCGATTGACGATATATCTGGTGATACCATCCTTCTCCTTTGGTTTGGTCATGACAACTAAAAGGACTTAGTTCATTTTTTCAGTCACAAGGACACCCACAAACTCACGATAGTTATCAAACAGAAGAACATGAAGTTCGCTCCACCCATTCCACTCAAGACCACTATCGGGCTGACGCAGAAGTTTTCCACTGTAAATGAGCGAACGACTCGAATCCAATAGATCCATGTCCTGAAACAATCATCAGTTTAACGTTCGCATCAATCCACTGGACCACGTACAATATATTCGCCGGGCTTGAATACCAAGCTCGTGTTGTACCTCCAGACCTCCACCTTCTGTTTCGCCGCATGAACTCCAGGTTCAGACTCTTTACCAAGAGCTTTGATGACGTCGATGAGGTTGGGGATGGTGTCAAGGTCCTCATGGCCTGGCTCTGTCTCGTCCATGATACCCTTGAGCAAGAGCTCATAACGAAGCAGACGAGGAATGGGTCGATTGATAAAGTTCTTCATGTCAAGACGATGAGCGTCAGGGTGGCGAACACATTGCTAGAAGGATAGTCCGTCAGCACAGGTGACAGAATGAATATAGAAATGACTTACATCGACAAAGCTCTTGAATGACAAATTCGTAACCATCTCGTCGTCTATTCGGTAGGCGGCAATAGGATAGTTAGGGATATACTCCATGTAGGCGTCGTGGAAATGAAGTGCAGCGTCGTATAATGGTGCGGTAATGCTATGAATCTCGGGGTGCTGTTCCCTCTGAATTTCGTGCAGTTTATCTACGAGCTTCTTGTGGTACTCGTAAAGCTCGTTGTAGTTGTGGAACACCTCGTCAATGAATCGGTCAACCCTATCTGGGGAAATAATGGGTGGTTGTGCTTTACGCAAGGGCAAAATGTAGATCTGCGGAAGGGTCGGTCAAAATGCAGAGAGAAATGTGAACGTCAACATACGTAAAGCATGTTCTCCAAATCCTTGACATAGGCCATTTCTCCCTTGATCAGCTCGAAAATGACACTGGAACAACGTCAATGGGAAAGTAAGTGTCACCAATGTGCTACACTTACGCTTGTCGTTTGGCCTGTTTTTTCGTCATTTTAGCTCGAACTTCAGGGGCTACTAAATCATGCCATTCCCATTTTCCAGGTGTTCCTTTACCCATCGCGGCTTGGAACGTCCTCAATTGAGCAATTGATTGCAAGTTCCTGATGGCGTCAATTGCCTGTCGAACAAACTCTCCATCTCCGTTTCCTGGTTCAGTGTTCTTCAACACTTCTTCGAGCGACTGAGGGTACGATCGTAGATGATCGCCGGGACGTTCCAGGAAGGCTTTCAACTCCAGAGGAGGCAATGTCGGGTTCAACGACACCATGGTTTGAGAGCATTTCTATGACCGAGGTTAAAAATGAGTTACAAATATATGAGAGAGAGAGAGCAGCACACCTCCAGGAATGCATTGAATGCAGGGTTACTTTCAATTGCCTCAGCCAATCGTTTCTCGGAAATCGGATAATGGCCTAGGTATTCAGGATAAGCATACTTGAATTCCATCGCGGCCTCGAGGAATATGTCTCCGATACGAAGAATGACTGGACCCTCTTCTCGCTGACGAACGATCAGGACTTCCAATAGTCTGCGATTGCATTCTCGAAGATCCAAAATATTGCCAAAGATATCGTCAATGAAATCGTCCAAGAGGTTAGGGGCGACGACAGGGGGATTGGCATTGCGCAGAGGCCTTATAAAGACGGTTTCCAGTAGGTCAAGATCTTTCAGGTAACGCTGCTCTCCTGCAATCAGACCATGAATAACGCTGAGGGATGCCGTCAGTGTGAATTGATTAGGTTAAAGAAAATGATTGTACTTCTGTCTGTGCAATTCCTCCTTTGTAAGTGCTGACAGTGCAAGAGGGTCAATAGTTTTCGTCCATTCCTCATCTTTTGAAACGATGAAAGTATCGGACGCTATTGGAGGCAGCCCAAGGTCGAAGTTGCCCTAACATATTCGGCATTAGATTGGATCAAAAAGTATAAATGTGCGTTACCTTTCTCGGACAGCTAAATGAATAACAGGGTGTTCCCTCTCCGCAGCTTGGTGAGTAACACCTGGTCATCATGGTGATAACGCCGGTTGGCAACTCTTCTTGCTCCAAAATTTCGTTGAACAGGTAAAGATCTTCGACACCATCCTGCAAAACGATGCTGTCCCATTCGACCTCGCAAATGAAGAGCTGACTGTGCAGGCTCCTTGCAAT